GAATACATGCCAAGAGAAAACACTTGTAGCATCTACATGTTTGGCTTTAAGTGAAACATTTCCTTTAAATACATCTGCAGCAACTTCAGTGCCTTTGCTGCTTATCTGACTTCACTTTCCGTTATGTTGCCTTTTATCAGGCAGTTCAAAGTAAAGGATCATTGTTTGTCAGGAATAATGCAGGTTTGAATGTGTGCCATTAAGGGAAGTAAAGGGAGGCATGGTTCCTTATTTATCGCATGACAGTTAGGGCACGAAGCCAGACTCGTGTACACACTCAAACCACGAGATCATTTGCCTACTATCTTTTTTAATTTTACTTCCAAATAATCCCTTTTTAATTCAGCGGTGTCTTTCTCTGTGTGTAAACTGTGGTTTCTATAACGTGGGACACTATCTGCTCGCTGCTCTCTTTTCCATATATAACTTCTGACGGGCTCTCCTGTGTCCCCCTGACCCACTTTACACCTTCCAGCTCTCACACACAAAACAGTTGGACTTTGTGCCTGAAGCTATTTCTGCATCCATCTTTTAAAACCCTACCCAAAGTCTTTATTACATTTGCAGAGATACCCCGCAGTTAAAGTGTTTAATTCGATGATTTAAAGTTGTTTGAGTATCACACATTACTGCTTATTTAGACCAACAGATAAATTCCATCATTAATTATTTGCTGTTTCATTATAGTGTCAGGTGTTTCATCCCATTAAGCATCAAGTATTTATCTAATTGAATGGTTTTGTAGTATTTTCTAAACTGATCCTCTGCCGCCCCCTTGTGGTAAGATAGAGAAGATGGCTGAAGTACTTAAAGTATGATAAAGACATGACAAGAGTATTCGATCTTCCATATAATATTATAAGAGGATGTTTTATGATTTCATTGTTTTTGGCAGGCTGGAAAAACAAAATGAAGTCTCTTTAATGCCTATAACATCCTTATAGGTATGTGTGATCCTGCGGAATGTGCACCGATGAATACTTGTATATTTATATTTTATATATTCAAGGTATATTGAATTTGCATGTCATTTTTACATGGAGTGAGGGGTAAACAGTTTGAAGTCCTAGGAGTTCATTAGCGAAGATAATTTTAAGATGTTCTTTTTTATACATGTTTTGGTTCTTATCTTCTACACCAGTGGTTCCTTCCATTTTTGGGGGGCATTTGACACCTCTTCACTGTCTCAAAAGTGAACAGTAAGCAGTTTAATCAAAGAGTCATATCTAGTTTCCTGTTCGTTAATTTTGCATTTACGTCCTCAGTTGACGAAAACCACTTTTGTTCTAAATAAGTTGATGCCATTTTTAAAAGGGACAGGAAACGTGAGAGCAACATGTTCATGTTGTCTGTGCAGTAACCACACATCTGCAACACTTTATAGATACTAAGGATATCCTGTTCAAACTGGAGATTTCTTACGATGTGAATATGTTTTAGTTCATCTTAATTTATTATAAGGTGTCTCTCAGTTTGAATTGATCAAATAAAGTAGATGTTGGCCCTATGTATTGTACCTTTATTCCGCATTCATAGGATGTAAACTGGTATTTTTATGACTGTTTACATCGTGTTTTTTATACTGATGTTCATTATGTAATTTCCCTTCATGGGGAAAGCTTCATGGCTTTTGAAGACATGGTTGCACATCATGAGGACTGTGGATTTTTTTTCATCACTCACATTGAAAGACCATTAGGAGATATCATTCTCATGAAGTCAAAATAGATTTCTAAGTGGTTTTATTACAAATATATTGTGCTAATTAAAAAAATTACAATCCATCAGTAAACAATATCCACAACCCTCCTTAACTTTCTCCAATTAAACAAAGATAAAACTGAGGTAATGGTTTTTGGAGCCAAGGCAGAACGTATAAAAGTTAGCGCTGAGCTTCAGTCTGCAATCTTCAAAACAACAGATAAAGCCAGAAATCTGGGTGTAGTCATGGACTCTGACCTGAGTTTCAACAGTCACATTAAAACAGATACTAAATCAGCCTACTATCACCTAAAGAATATATCTAGGATTAAAAGACTAATGTCACAGCAGGATTTGGAAAAACTTGTCCATGCTTTTATCTTCAGTAGACTCGACTACTGCAATGGTGTCTTCACAGGTCTCACTAAAAAATCTATTAGGAAGCTGCAGCTGAGTCAGAACGCTGCTGCTCGAGTCCTCACTAACACTAAGAAAGTGGATCACATGACTCCTGTTCTGAAGTCTTTACACTGGCTTCCTGTGTGTCAAAGAATAGATTTCAAAATACTGCTGCTGGTTTATAAAGCACTGAATGGTTTAAGCCCAAAATACATTTCTGACGACCTGCTAAAATATGAACCATCCAGATCTCTCAGGTCTTCAGGGACTGGTCAGCTTTCTGTCCCCAGAGTCAGAACTAAACATGGAGAAGCAGCGTTCAGTTATTATGCTCCAAATATCTGGAACCAACTCCCAGAAACCTGCAGGTCCGCTGCAACTCTGACTACTTTTAAATCCAGACTGAGGACTTTTCTTTTTGCCGCTGCTTTTAATTGAACTATTCATATCTTAAACTGCACTGTAACTTTGATCCATGTACTTTTTTCTTTTAATGTTTATTTTATTATCTTTTCTTTTTAATGACTGAATTTAAATGCCATTTTCTTAATGTCTTTCGTTTTTTGTAAAGCACTTTGAATTGCCTTGTGTTGAAAGGTGCTATATAAATAAACTTGCCTTGCCTTGCCTTACCTTGCCTAGCTTAATGTTTTCATAGGAAAGATAGATGTGGTCATTTAAATATCACTCTGCTAACGGTTTCATTTAAAGGTCCCATGTCATGCTTTTCTGGTTATTACCCGTCCCCTTGTGTGTTATGTAGGTTTTTCTGCATGTAAACGGTCTGCAGAGTCAAAAACCCTCAAAGTACACCCTGTAGCGAGTAAAACTCTAACACAGAAAAGACCTGTCTATGCTGCCCCAGAACGCCTCGTCGGAGATTTCTCTTTTTCCATTTTTTACTTCTTGTGTATAGTGACGTATTTGGGTATAGTGACGTGACGTGACGTAACGTCCGCGGAGCCGTTACATTTGGACCAATCCACGGTGTGTGTGTGTGTGTGTGTGTGTGTGGCCTAGCATTACTATACTTGTGGGGACCTAAATCTGTTTACACAGTCACGTGTGGGGACTCGCCTCCCTTATGGGGACAAATTGGAGGTCCCCATAAGGGGAATCATTCATTTTAGTGTGAAGACTTAGGCATTTCTAAAGCTAAAGCTAAAAATACACCAGAGACTGCTTTGGATATTGTAACTACGCAAGAAATACAACTTGAAGTGGTTACCTGTTACAAATACCTTGGTATCTGGCTTGATGATTGTCTCACTTTTAAACTTCATGTCAATAACCTGCTTAAAAAGCTGAGGGTTAGGCTAGGTTTCTTTTACAGAAATAAGTCCTGTTTCTCGCTTGAGGCCAGGAAAAGGCTAGTCACTGTGACCTTTTGACCTGTGCTGGATTATGGTGATTTGTTATATATGAATGCACCTGCCAATTACCTGAGCAAGTTAGATGCTGCGTATCACAGTGCACTGAGATTTTTGACAAATTGTAAAGCACTTACGCATCACTGTACCCTGTATACCAAGGCGGTTATGCCATCACTTACTGTACGGAGGCTCAGTCACTGGTACTTTTTCATTTACAAAGCCATGTTGGATAAACTACCATCTTATATCTGCTCCCTGATCTCTCTGCGAATTGAAAGTACTTATTGCCTGAGATCGCATGCTGTGGTTTTATTAAATGTGCCAAGTGCTAGGACTGTCTTAGGGAAGAAAGCTTTGAGATGTGCAGCTCCACTAACATGGAACAGTCTGCAAAAATAATTGAAAATTACCAAGCTAGTACCACTACATGTTTTTAAAGCTTGGTTGGATGCTACAAAATCAGATGCTGTTGGTACCTGTACTTGTGGTTAAATATGTAAATTGTAATCCCTGTACATTTTGCTGTATGATGTCCTTTTGTTGTTCTGTTGTTTATGTCTTCTTGTGGAACCTACTGCTGCAGGTCTCCCTTGAAAAAGAGATCATTGATCTCAATGGGATTTTACCTGGATAAATAAAGGTTTTGAATTGAATTGAATGTGTTGGTTATGGTTAAGGTTAGGATAAGTCTCCAGGAAATGCATGTAAGTCAATGTAATGTCCCCTGAAGTGATGTGTGTGTGTGTGTGTGTGTGTGTGTGTGTGTGTGTGTGTGTGTGTGTGTGTGTGTGTGTGTGTGTGTGTGTGTGTGTGTGTGTGTGTGTGTGTGTGTGTGTGTGTGTGTGTGTGTGTGTGTGTGTGTGTGTGTGTGTGTGTGTGTGTGTGTGTGTGTGTGTGTGTGTGTGTGTGTGTGTGTGTGTGTGTGTGTGTGTGTGTGTGTGTGTGTGTGTGTGTGTGTGTGTGTGTGTGTGTGTGTTCACAGGGAGGGGGGGGGCAGGAGCTCCAACAAGGCGTTTAGGACAGAGAGTGAATACTATACAGATGCTGTATGAGAAACCAATGTGAGTTTGGAAAATTGCACAATATAAATCTATTCTAGTAGACCTCAACAATGGAATTATGATCAGTAGAAATGGCCATGACATGGGACCTTTAACTTAAATAATAGTTAGTATGAAAACGTGAAAAAATACAGTGTGAAAAACCCATTTAGTCTCGAATTTGGCACCTGATCATTGATTTAAGAAAGCATTGGAAAAATTGCAAACCTACAGTAACCCCTAAAAAATGTGCTTTACTTGCATTGTGTGAATTATGATTCCAGAATAAGTTTTACTAAACTAAATACAGTCATATTTATTGAAATTATGCCAATCATTGTGGGTAATGTATGAAATCTGTTGAATTTATGATAAATGTAATACAAAAACTGTTCCAGCTTTACACCACACGTACACATTTACATTATACTGCATGTACTAACATCATAGATAGAGATCTGAAGCTCTACAGACACACAACGTCATGTTTGAATGTAATAAATGACAAGTTTATTGTTGCACAAAATGTACAAAATAACAAGCAAATGGATAGCCCCTGACCCCGCTCCCCCCTCCCTCTGGTTCATCTGCAATAATGAAGCTGAGTTTCTGAAACCTATGACTACGGCAAGTCCGATGGTCCAAGCCAAACGCATGGTAATTCTGAGAGACAACACATACCCAATTCCAGCGTCACTGAACAATTAAAAATGAATAAAAACACCTTATTTACACATTTCTGTCAGAACTTTTACAACATGCCATCTATATATTTATACAGACTATGCTTGTGCACATACCCCTGTATAGAAAATATATTATAAAATCAAATTAAATTAGACTAAGGGCTATAGACATCCAAAGTACAGCACTTCTTTTTAATCTCAGTTTTTTATTTTCACTTATTCAATTACTTAGTTATTTAGACAACCTCGTACTAAAAGAAATAACTCTATGCAGGTTTTTTGATGAATGTTGTTCCTTGAGGACCCAAGCTGACCGTGTAGATGCCCGTTGAAAAAAGCCTCACATATTTACACTGCAGATCTCCCCTTTTAAAATGCATGTGTGTGAATCACCTTCTGACTTTTATGTGCATGAGTTGGTCTTGCACTTTCATGTGTTCTTCAAATGATTATCAGTGATGTTTTACAAGATTTCATCCCCTTAAATCCTCAGATCCTCGCTTCATGATGAAATAAAAGCAATAACCAATCAGCTTTGGCACTGTGTGAAGAAGTAAGTGTGCTGTGGTTTCCTACAAAGCCTTTTTTTGAGTTTACATGTCTTGTGATTCGTCCCTGTTTGTGCACTAATGTGAAATCACATTAAAGCTTATAGCAGATGTTCTCAGAAATTGAGATTAGTGCAAAAGAGGGACGAATAAACGGATATCTAACAAGCTAGTACTGTGATATCTAAACCACATTAGCACCATGGAGAAAGAGTGAACTACATTGTTCAAGTAAAGCCATACACACATGATGCTGGATCGTATATAGTGTCAGGGCACATATGATGGAGATTTAGTGCCAAGGAGAAACACCTAAGGATGGATGGATAGGAATGATGGGAGAAAACTTGGCGATAATGGAGATGAAATAACACTCATCTCCTTGCCTCCTTTCCTTCAGCTGCACCGATGCATTAAATAAACAAAACAGGAAGAAGCAAATCTCCGGAGTGCATCCATCACATTGCTTCTTAAATCTCCTGCAGGTGGAGGTCGGAGCAGCTGAAGGAGGAAACTACGTCTGGAGAGTTAAAAAGCGAGTGTGTGAGGGGGCACAGGAAAGTCTGCAGGGGTCAGTTTGGGATCAGATCTTCAGGGGAAAGGACATGGCGTTGTTTGTGTGCAAAAATACTTGTCAGACTACTGCTGGAACATGAACCCTTTTTTTGTTTCTTTTTGTACATTTTCAGTTTGCGTCGTTTCTGACATTAGATTTTGCAATATAACTCCCTCTCTAGTCCTACTTATGTTTCATCTTCCGCTTGTGTTGCACTTGTTTTTAATATATATCTATATTTTCTTTTCTGGCTTTTTTTCTCTTTTCTTACTTTACAAAATGAGAGACAGAATGATGGACAGCTGACAATATATATAATTATTTTCCTCTTCTTCTTTGATCGTTGTAAACCAACAGGTTTTATCAGACACTGGCGTTCGTTTCCTCCTCGTCTTCTTTTCTCTCCTCCTTCAAGTGCGCTCCTTCTCTCCTCTCTGAACCTTCTCATTGCAGGAGGGCCCTGATTTGTTTGGAGGTGCTGTCATCATTTAGATGTCTTGTCGTATACCTGAAGAAGAGAGATATGTTAAAGTTGTAATGTTCTCGAGATGGACTGTACTTATATAGCGCTTTATCAGGTCTTTACGACCCCTCAAAGTGCTTCACATACTACAAGGCATTCACCCTTTCACACCTCATTCATGCAGAGCTGTACCAATTGCTCTAGGAAACTAAGGCTGCATCTACACGGAGACGAAAACTAACCGAATTCGATATCAAAAAAGTCTTCCGTCCACACGGTATCGGCTCAAGAATCGTGTCCGTTCACACGAGACCGCTCGACCCGCTGGAGACGCTGTAGTACATATGCCGGGCCAGTAAGTGGCGCTGTACTTCCGCCACAAAATACACCAAAAGCAGCGAAGAAGACCCCTCCGAGCATGGTTGCCATGGTTGCCTGGGCTGAAGTCGAATAGTCCATTTAGCTTAGGAACCTTCCTAACGGAGTGAAATGACCCGGAAGTCCCTCAGTGGCAGCCATGATAAGTGCCGTTCGAATTCTCTAGAGATGATAGGAAAGGAGGTTTCAAACTTCCTTTATAACCTCCTTTAGTTTAGGAACCACTGGACCTCCCTAACCGAAAGGAGAGGAGAAAATGCTGCCCCACAATGCCTTGCAGCCGCAGCATTTGCCATCACACAACAGTCGGCCGTTCACGGAAACAAAAGATTATGACGGAGAAATTATATCATGAAAGTTACGGTGCTTATTAAGCATTTTAAAACGTATGTGGTAAGTTGCCAAAGTGCTTTGTTTTGAACGTTCATCAGTATTATAATCAAAGAGAAATATGAATGTTAGTTTTTACTGAAATGATCAAATAACATCAACATCTCACAGTCTTTACTGAGCTGTGTGGTTTGTTCAACTTTTAAAAGATGTTTGAATGGTGATAAACACAGTGATAGATGTTAAGGACTAACGTTTATAATAAATACATTTGTATTGATTTTAAGATATTTTCATAGTTCATACAATCATACGTATTGGGATCATTTGTATTAATGTGGACCGGAGGGAGAGGGTGACGAGCATAAGTTTCACTTTCCTTTTTTATTTCAATTCCAACTTTGGTCATGAAGAATATGTTTCTCTGTTGTCCACGTTCATAAAGCAAAGCAACAGCATCAGAGCACGGTGAAGAGTCTCTAGATGAGTCCCTCGTTCTTATTAAACATCCATGTTGTAGTCCTCTGTATAGAAAACTGTAGTTTCCATAGTTTCCCCACAGCAGCAGACGCACATTCATGACGTCCGCTGGCGTATCATAAACACGTCGGATAGTGAAAGTGCAGTCGGATTCTCTAAAGTACGGCAGTCTCTTCTCCTAAGTCCTTTTGAATTCTCCTATCCACTATCCCTTAACCCCTTAGTTCCGTTACGGCCTCGTGTGAACGAACCGTCCATACGGTAGAGAACTGTAGCGGATACAACCCGTCTCGTGTCCGTGTGGACGGGGCCTAACATTCATCACACATCGGGAGCAACTCAGGGAATCTGTGTCTAGTATCTCTTTCTGGTTCATACACACCTCAGCGCGTTCAGAAGTCCCTCCACACTGTTGGACGGTTGCTCTTTCAGCACCTTGATGCAGCCCTTCATCTGCGCAGAGAAAGAGTGTGTTAGTTAAAGCTCAGCGTCTCCACTACAGCAGCAAAACGCTTATTTATAGAGGTAGCTTAAAGTTTAATCTATTGGTACATGGGATATAGTTCTGCATTCCTTGACCATCGGTCATGCAACACTCTCTTGCACTATTTGATTCCTATTCTGTTACTTCTTGCACTATTATCTATTGTTTTTTCTTTTATTTGTATATCTTATTTATATATTTATGTTGCTTTGTTGGAGGAGCCTGGGACTTGATTTGTTCAAAGTGAAGCATTATCTCCTTTTCCTCTCAGGTGATGGTCTGTGTTTGGGAGTTGTGAGCAGTTTTATTTGAAGAGTGATTGTTGCTCCTCAGGCTCCTTGATTTCCACTATTTCCAGAACTTCAAAAGGTCAATTATTAAAAGATTACACAAGATAAAACTTTTTCTGTCTTTCTTTAATTATCTTGTGACCCCTCAGATTTACTGTGGGTACCCTTTGGAGAGTTTTACACATTGCATCAATACCAAGGCTAATGGTGAGTAATTGTTCTTAAATCCATTCGCAGGATAGCCATCTTTTGTATCCTGATTATTATTAGAAGTTGTTTTAAATAATCGAAAAATGTGAAGTATTCATGTTTCTGGTGTGAAGTGTTATGGTCTGTAAAGTATAATCGTTTGGCACTACTCTCTGGTTACTTCTGATTTGTTACCAAGTAGGCTTTCTACAAGGAACATACAACATAAATATAGAAGAGAAATACATTACAAATATTACAAAAAATATGTAAAATATGCCTGAAGTAGAAGCTTTTCAATTTATAAAGTTGTAGTTAATTGCGTAATATGTGCACAATTGTCCAATATATGTGCAAGGGTTCACAGTACAACATATAATAATAAAAGTATTTGTGTTTAATCTACCTCTTTTGGTATTGCAAAACTGCAAACAATCCCCTTTAAATATATATGTTATTTTATTAGGTACAGTACTTCATCACGTACAGAAAACGCCTAACGAAGGCTCTTAATGTTATTCAGTTTCTAATTCAATCAAATATACATTTTAAAGGAAGTGTTTAACAGTGTTGCCAGGCAGAAGTCACAGAGACGTTCGTCTGTTTTCAACACTGGTTATGTGCACTCACATCGATTTTGGAGGTCTTGGCGAAAGCCCCGACGGGGTGAACGTGGTCGTAGAGGATGATGACTCCCACCATCACCCTCATGCAGAACAGCATGGTGTCTGTGTTGGTGAACCGACAGCGGTACTCCCTGTTACACACACAGAGGAAAAGAAAACAGTTGAATAACACCAGAGAACATGGGTCACACACTAATGCTGCTGCTATTTCAGGCACTTTCTGATCTCCTTGAAAAATTACTGATGACTTTCTATTCATATAAAGACAACTCATAAAGAGGATTTTAAATAAAGCGTGAAGGACTATGAATGAAATCTGTGTGAATGTCAGTGTGATGAAGTCTGTTGAAATTGTGAGTCACACTTGAGAATGCCTCTTTGTGTCGGATAGAAAAGGCTTTATTAATAACTAAGAGTATGACCTTTGGAGGATGAAGGAAAATACTCACGGAGTCTCCAGCATGACGCGGCACACACAGGCCATCGTGCTCAGACAGTCTGTGGTGTCCTCTATGGGCAAGGTCTTATTCTGAAGGACCAAAAATAAGACAAATTAGAACAGATAAAAAGTCCCTATGCCTAAAACATTTCTATGTATTTTTAAATACATAGAACATTCACTGTCTTCTGTTGTTTCTGTGCTGAGCGAACAAAATGTCCTACCACAAGGTGGAGACAATCTGCATAGCTTGGAAAGGTTTGATTGATTGATTGATTGACAAAGTTTATTAACAGCTTGTATATGGGTACAGTACAGTACAAGCCTCAAAACATACAATTGTTAAGGGTATGGGGGGGCAGACCAGAGAAAGACTTTCGTCTTGTTACATCAGGGTCCACCATTTCCAATTCATCATATCATTTAAGGCATATAAGACATATTTGACATACAGGATGGGCTTATTTACAATTTACATACAGGTTTGTTTTTTACATACAGATGCTATTTACAATTTTCATTTTAGATTTCCGTTCTAATACATCTAAACCGGAACATTTAAGACATACCAGTCTACAGAATATACAGTTAGGTAACAGAGGTCTAAAAAATGCGAGTATAGTACATAGATGGGGGGGGGGAACGCTGTCCATTGAACGACAGGTTGGAGATTTGTACCATTACCGGGCCACGTTTTGCCCAATGCTCTCCCCGAAGGTGCTCTTGTTAAGAGAGGTTTTGAAGGTAAGTATAGTTTTACTTTCCTTTACAGTTGGTGGGATAAAGAATGCCAGTAACTTTGCTAAGAGGCAATCCTGACCCCCTTGTTCTCTACATTTTGTCTCAAACATCACTTATGTCAAGAGGTGGGGAAGTTTTATTGCCAAAGGCTTGCATGCTGCAATTAAGGTCAAGTGTGCAAGGGCATCTATTGACTTCACCTTATTGTGGAGATGTTGTTTAAGGAATATTATAAAGTTATTAATGAAAGCATAATTTTTACAGTGTAAATATATTTCTAAATATTTTCGATGGTGAGGTGCAGTATGCATCACATTTGACTCACTAGTGTATCCTATGCTCTGTACCTAGTCTTCATGTCCTCTGGTCTAGCACATATTGGCTTCACTTATCATTCATTTTGTTAGTCTGAAGGTGATTGTCGTTGGATGGCTAATTTCAATGGCAATATTTAAAACCAATACTTTTTTTTTTCAATTAAAGGTGAAATATAATGCAAATGTTCAGGTTTATACTTGTATTTTCCATCTACTAAAATTGTTTGAATACTTAAATGTGAAAAAAGCAAACATTATTTATTCTTTCGTGTCTGTTTGAAAGTGTTTGAGTCTCTATCCTGTAAACAATAAAACTGCTCTGATTGGCTGGCAAGAAAAACATGATTCACTTTTGAATAGGTAGTTGAGTCATTTGGAGAGATACTAAGATGAATTTTGACATTTTCGTATCATATGTTCTCTTTAAATCTTGACAACCTCAGTTCTGAAAATGCCAACTCTTTGTGTTATCCAAGTCTCGATAAAAATACACTTATCCATCGAAATTGTAAATGTACCTCTGACACAAACTTGGTGGTGGCGTTACTCAGAGTCTTCAGCATTGGTGTTGCCTCAGCGTAGAACAGAGACATCCGATTGGCCATCTCATTGTTGACCTCGTTCTCCGCCTCCAGCTGTGCGCCGATACAAAACGCATTAGAAAGCATGAATCATTAATGTCATCCAATAACATCCAGTCGGTCAAATCAGAGAGGCTCTAATCTGAGTAACTCGACTGACGGACACATTGTTGCTTGTCCGTCTCGTTGTGTTGTTAGGAGGACAGAAACACTTCCACTTAAATCATTAATAATTCAAGAGGGAAAGGGAAGCGGAGCGTAAACAGATCCTCTCACCTGCTGGTTGTTCAGCCGGTTCCTGCTTATAGTCCTCCTGTAGTAGCTGAAGTCGTTCTGAATGGCTGGATTTGTCATCTGCGCGGTGAGAGAGGAAATTATTTCACGGTATATTGATTACTCGGCACAGTAAAGGTCACTCTCTGAGGTAATCACACCAAACAAATCTATAGACACATTGCAAAGCCAATTTTGTTGTGCAAACACTACATGAAATGGGACAAAATTAGCACTAATATACAGTTTGATTATAATAATAAGTGTTTGCTGCATGTCATGTATGTGTGTTTTTTCAACCTAGATTTACTATTTTTATTTATTTAATATTCTGATTATTTTATTTATTTGATATTATTTTCTTATTGTATTTTAAGTATTTATTATTTTTGTATTTAATATTATTTTTATTCCTTTATTTATTATATTTGTAATAATATTATTTTAATTTGTAGTATTATAATTGTCTTAATTAATGTATTTAATATCAATTTAATATTATTAATTTATTGTATTTAATAATATTATTTTTGTTAATGTTTTAATTTAATTTAATTGTTTTGTCATTTCATCACATGGACATTTATGTGTATCTTTGCCTTTACTGAATAAAGAAATACATACTAATAATAATAATAAATAAATAAATCCCCCTCACCTTTAGCTCATCAAAGCTGAGTGTGAAATGCAGGATCTCAGCGAACTGTTTGGCCAGCGCCTGCTCTCTCTCCAGGTGCTGCATGGGGGCGTACGGAGGGCTGGTGAGCGCCTCCAGCAGGCTGCGCAGGGCGTTCTCTGAAAACACAACTAATGTCACGAAAGTGTCTGCAAGCGGGAAACTGCACGTCATACGGCCAGGGGGGAAAGGTGAAGTGCATTTACTCAGGAAGACCCTCTTAAATCTGTGCAGTACGGACAACACTGTATAACCTGTGCAATTATAAAATACTAATGACAACGCTAAGGAATACTACTGTAATACACTGTGAATTTTGAGCAATAATATATTATCATTAATATCTGTAGCATGTCTTGTAATATACCATTTTTTACACATGTATTGTTGTTATCTAGTAATATTATAAGATAAGAAATACTTTATCGATCCCAATTTGGGAAATGTTTGCATTATTATAATTATAATCTAGTGATTCTGAAATTGGCTTTACCAAATAAGTACTTATTTTGATGCCAATCCTTTTCTACTTTTACTTTAGTAAGATTTTGAAAGCAGGACTGTTACTTGTAAGAGAATATTTTACGTTTTAATTTTGCTGCTTTAACTTGAGTCAAAGATCTTCTTCCATCGCTGCTTCCTGCAGACTTGTATCCCTTTATGTTCAGACAGCTGTAATTCTCTCTAATCTGGCTTCTCTGATCTCTTTCATGTCACCACATTAAATCAAAATGCAGCAGCGGATGGATTTTAACGGGTTCAAAAAGATGAAATCCCTTCCCTGTATATCTGTCACATTCTTTCTGGACATCACTGGATACCTATTGGGCTTTTAGATACCGACCCTTCTGTTGAAGCGCAGAGGGATCCGGCCTCAGGCACTTTCACAGACCTTTGTTTGAACCACTGTCTGAGAGCAGACCCTCAAGCAGGGTTTCATATTTCATGTGACCAGAAATTGAGCGTTGGAGCCCTCAAGCTTTGGGACATGTCTTTAAAACTCTGTGTGGAGTTCTTTTAACATTTCTTTGTCAGGCTGCTTGGCTTTGAAGTGATGGTTTTGACATTTTAATGTGCAGTTGTATAATGTATGTATTCTTAGTGTAGGTGGGAGTGTGCACGCCCTCAGTTTAGAGACACAGAGAGGAGTTACGGAAAATAAGCAATGTAGCAACACCTATTTAAGCCACTCAAAATAAGGCCAACCGAATAAATTAAATGCCAGTTTAAGTGTAGGCTATATTTGTGCATGTTTCCCTGATTTACCTTGCAGTCAAACATTCCTTTCTGATGGGGAAAGGCTGCAGTTATCTATGCTTCCTTTAAATCCACCAGACTCCATGGACAAAAACAGTCATTTTAATTTTCCAGAACACAAAAACGCTCGCTTCCTCAATCTGTTACAGACTGAGACATATCATCCACTAACACCTCTAGCAATTTGGTGAGTGACTTATATCATAAGAGTGATCCCTTAAAAAATGTTTTAGCAATGTACTCTTATTTATAGTTCATCATTTTTACATTATCTATTCTTCTTCTTTGTTGAAATGTGTTTGCATTACCCATAATGCAACCTGAACTACCAACAGTTTGTCGGACATTTTGGTTGTGTTATACTCTTTATATATACAGTCCATAGTTATGCTAGCAGCAGCGAATGTAACCTTACACCTCAAGTGGGCTCCAGAGGTCCTGCAGTTCAGCAGCTCTCTATCTGCATTAAAAATACATTTCCAGACCAACTAAATGAACATATACTGAACCTTTCCTCCACACAGATCATCTGATCTCACAGCCTGAGCATCTTTGTGGACACTGTATCAGTGACCGTGCATTCCCCCGTGTCACATATGTTATTGAACCTCAGCCTTTGCTGCCTCCAACAAATCAGACCGAGCCGGACCTCAGAGGCTCTGTGTAAAGCCTCAGAAGTCTCCCGGGGCCCCATCCCTTCCTCTGCATTAAAAATGCACAAGGCCTTCTATAAATACAGCGCTGAAGTGTTTCATCTAAAAGGCCAGAGCCCTTCCCTCCTGCTGTTAGCACTGAAGTCCCTAACTGGAGCACTGACTCCTGAGGGGATATATGATAGATTGTTGACTGTAAATATCTTGTTGTCCAATAAATAATTCAGTGAAGGCGAGGGATCTACTTTGTGAATATCCCCTTCTCTCCATATGGATTCACCGTCTACAAACTTCTGTTGTGCTACACCTCCTAGCCACATTAGCGCAGATACATTATCCTAAATTATTACCTCGCTCTCTTTCTTAGCTGAGAACATAATGTCCATGACACAGAAGTATTATTGGATGGCAGAGCAGAGGCGTCAGGCCAACTAAATGTTTTCTGCTCACACTCGTCTCTCTCTTTGTGCTGGAAGACCATGTACCACTGTTTCCGTAGCAACGGCTGCCTGCTAGGTCAGGATGCTGCAGAGATGGCTGGGAGGACGTGTGTGTGTGTGTGTGTGTGTGTTGTGTGTGTGTGTGTGTGTTGTGTGTGTGTGTGGTGTGTGTGTGTGTGTGTTGTGTGTGGTGTGTGTGTGTGTGTGTGTGTGTGTGTGTGTGTGTGTGTTGTGTGTGTGTGTGTGTGTGTGTGTGTGTGTGTGTGTGTGTGTGTGTGTGTGTGTGTGTGTGTGTGTGTGTGTCAGACAGAAATCGCATGTCAAATTAGGATGGTGGTACGCAGAAACTGACAATTTGAACTTCTACCCATAGTAACAACGAGAGTCTCACTTTTGATCACCTTAACATGAATCTGCCTCTTATTTGAGGTTCAGAGAGACATTCTGACTGGTTGGCAGAAAACGCTCTTACTAATTCTAGATTGAGGTTACAGCAGCTATAACTTCAGCTCTCATTGGACCTCCAATATGGCCACCAGAGAGTGTTACATCACCATGAATGACTCTATAGACTGAATGTAGCCATGCTCACCCAGTCTGAGGGAGAACTCGTAGAAGCGCTTCAGTTTGGCCACCAGGGGGCAGACTGCGTTCCAGGCCTTCTCCTGCAGAGCGAGGTCGCCCGGGTTCTGGATGGCCTGAAGGCGAGCAACACAGATGTTAGTCTCCAGGAAGGATTTAAAAATAAAACACCTTCCCATCTCCTCTACCCTCTCGTCCTTAAAGCCATATGTCACATTATGAGAGAAATATATCCTTTCCATATTAAAGTGATTACAGTATAGCAAGAATGTAACAAATCCTCTCCATCAAATGTCATTCATCAGCAAAACGTCATTTAGTTTTACTGACATGCAATCGAATAGCCATCTAATGAGATATCAATGTGCTTATTGATATATATTATTAAATATACTTAACCAAACTATCAAACATGCATATATAAAGCAAAAGATTCAGATACTCTATCGTTATGCACAATATCAATAACATAGTTGCTGGCCAGGTACATTTGATGAATGCCTAAGCAGCTTGATAAAGGTCTCTAAGTGTTCAAGATAAGGAAGTCAGGAAAGGAAACTATTAAGTGCTGACAAATAGAGAACAATGCTAACAGCTGAGCAATAAGCAGCAATGGTTCAGGGAACTGCTTAGTAGAAATGTGTCTCTGAATCTGAGCACAATAAAGCTCTGTGTTCTTCAACACCTGCTTTCTGATGGTTGATGTTTATGCTTCTACCAGAGCAGTTCCAAAAAAAGACACTATTGCATGAAATGTTTGTTAAAAGTAAAGAGTTTCCAGAGTAATGATAATACTAGAATTGAAGTCTCATCTGGTGTCAGACATCGTTTACTAAATGAAATCATATTTGTGTCAATAACAAAACAAATCCAAGAACTAGGTACAGTTTAAATTGACAAAAAAAACTACAAATATTGCACAAAAGGTTTTTTTGAAAATATATTCACATAGTAATTGAGCAAATTCACCCAATAATAAAACAAAAAACAATACTAATAGCAGTGAAATAAAGAATAAGAAAAAAATATATATTTGTATTATATAATTAGAAAATTATCCAAGAAATAAATTAACATGAAATTGCCCAAAACAAACAAAACATGTTGCATGAAATGTAATACATGTCTTTGTCTGCACCTACAGTCCTACTGTCCTTCAACTTGGAGCAGGACACTTGGGAGGCTCTATCTGTGTTGGTAACTATTCATCATTAAAGGCCATGTGAATCACACACTGTTAGTGGCTCGACTAAACTGTATTTTATGGATGTTCAGCACTGATGGACTCACTTCTCGTATCTCCTGGCCCGCCCCGTTGTAGGACTGCAGCTCGGCCAGGATCCCATGAGCCTCCTCCAGCACGGCGCTGACCTGGTTCCACACCGCCGTCTCCGCCTCCGTGGGCTGGGCATCTGTGAGGAGGAGGGGGAGGGAGGAGAGTAAAGAGGAAGAGAGAGTGGGAAGTGAAAGTGTGATGTAAGGTAAGAACATTTTTTAGGGGAGGCGGCAGAAAAAGAGGAAAGGGAACATGGCGGGAAGTGGAGAACATGAGAGATTTGAGGAAAGAAGGAGGTTAGTGATGAAATCAAGAGAAGGCCAGATAACTAATCACTCCCTATGACTGCTGTTAAAGAAAGTGACTGTTATATCCTGATAGTGGACATTGCAGCCACTTAATGTCATAATCTGGCCACTATAGTGAATAACCCCAATCTACCCACATTATAATTTACCAAGAGACCTGTAAATCACCCTCTGTCACACAGCGAGGTTTGATTACAGTGTGTGGTCAGCCAATAATGACCAGGAGATGACAAGGTGACTTTCTCCTCAGGGAACTATTTGGATGATGATGTAACAGCTGATAGTTTGATGGTTTTCAGGCGCAGTAAAAAGTTGTGTTCGTTCATTCACTGGAGTTCTACACACTCTGAGAGGTGTAATTGTCCCTTATGTAACAGTCTAATCCATCTTTTTCTCACTCTCTAAATGTGTAGAGACTCGCCCTTGAGGTGTAATTGTGATAAATGTTCAAACAAACAAGCAGCAGGGAGGAAAACCACTGGGCATGATCACTCGTTTCTCTTTCTCAGTTTCCCTCACTAAGCATACTGTAAACTCAGTGTTTTCTGCCGCAGGGCGCCTCCCAGTCCTTCTGCTTTGTTTGCCCATGTGTCGCGCTGCACGCAGACTGGAGGGATTAGGTGTTAGAGGGACAATAATGTGAGAGTCATCATTGTGTTTCCCCTCCAATCATCCGTCACAAAGTGTGATTCAGGTATTGGAAAGCTCTTTTAATATGGCACCCCAGTTTATCTCTGCACCCTGAGGCCTTGCCTTCCTGCAGAGAAATTGTAATCATGGGATATTTGCTATACGTGTCATAAGCGCAGCAAGCACGGTTTATTTGGTGAGGACTTCTCACTAACCTGCTTCTGCTTTTCTGTGGCGAACAACAATATAAGTGCAATAACAAACTTAAATGAGAATGCATTTTTCTTCTCATAGTATTAAAGGAATAGGTTATCTGTAGTTAGTTTTTTATATGAGAAATGTATGCAACTCTTACATTTGTTTGCTTAATATAAACCTGGAGCCAGGAGAACGTTAGCTTAGCTTAGCATAACGACTGGAAGTAGGAGACATGGCCTTGCTTTTCAGTTAAAGTTTTTGATCATTTTTTAATAGGATTCAATTAATCCTTATTTACATTTTCTTTCCTGTGACATGTGTCCATGCTTTAATGTTCAAAAGGCTCATACTGCCTTGTGCTGCAGCACCTCTTTTCACCCTCTGTCTGAAACCAGAGCCCAGTCTGCTCTGATTGGCTAGCTGGCCGGCTCTGTTGTGATTGAAGCAACTCCATTTTTTACCTTAAGTTGGGTGTAGAGTGTAATAAAAAGACGATTATACTATTTTGAGGCATCATATTTAATGTCTAAGACTTAACCTTTAAATAAGAAAGTATCCACAATTTTTTTTATATATGTGTGTGTCCCGATCCTTCAAAAGGTTTTAGCGTGATATAATAATGAGCATTCAGCTATAGTTTAATGAGAGCTCAGTGATTCAAACTTGGAGTTGTGTGACAGAGGTGACTGTCTCTGGGGGGAGCTCACAGATGGCACCGCGGTGGATGGGTGAGGAGGGGGAGAGGACGTATCTAAAGTTGCCATGCCTGATTCTGACTCACTCCACTTGCTTTTGAAGTAAAAATGAATCAGGCATATTAAATGAAGGGGGGGCAATTCAGCCTGTTTCACAGCTGACGTCTCCTGCCAGCATTGAGCTCTCCCACGCTTACATGCAGTCAGTGAAGGAGGCGCAGGAGGAGGAAGGCAGCTGTTGAAGGGGGGAAAGTGTTTTGAGGAGGAGGAGCAGAATATGTTGGGATTCACCGCGAAACATCTCCATCGAAACCAAATCATTTAGTCACATAATCAGACTCCAGTAGGATTTGGATTTCAAAGATTACTAATTGGTTTGCACACTGTGGGTGAGAGGAACTAAGACAAAGAATTGGCTTGAGACTTTTTTTGGTATTCATGTTTTGTGCTGAGAGTCCCTGAGTTAGTCCCAGTGATTGAGGTCAGTTGTTTTAAACTTTCACAAAATATATTTTTTTAATGACTTGTTGAGATGGACACTTTCACATTGCAAAGTTTAGAATACACTGACTGGGAAATTGAGAGAAAAGGGGGGCAAAGAGGTGCTTTTATTTGCACACTTCTTTCTCTATTTCTTTCCATTTCCCTTATCAGTCTCACTCTCTGACACACACACACTATTCAGCACACAGATTGGTCAGGCACACAATAGGGCTTGAGGAGATGAGGAGGTGGAGGGATGACTATAAGCTATGTTCATCCCCGAGCAACAGAAACCCACACAGGACTGGCATTTGCTTTTCAGATTTGTCTCAGTTTTGTTTGTAGCTTAGGAGCCGGCATCAAAGCATTATTGTTGTCGTTGTGCTTCAGCGTCAACATGCCATTGTGCATCTGTCTGCGTCTAATAAGATGTGTCGTGTGTGAATAAGACCCTTCAGAAAAAGAAAGCCAGTCCCTGGAGCAGAAATCAAAAGGAGGAGGA